AAGGATAATGCAACCATTGGAGTCTGTGCACAGTTCTTTCAAGTTAAATGCTTAGTTCAACATTCCACTTCCATTTCCTGGTAGAAAATGTTTTATATGAAAGCAACTTTAACCTTTCAGAAGGGTTCATTTACTGTTACGTTTGGTATCAGCTTTCCAAAAAATGCAGTCTGCATTTGGTATATTATAGGTTCTGGTTTTAATATTGGTTTAGAAAAAAAGTCATATGCCATAAGTCAGAAATAAAATATTGTGCCAGAATTCTCTCTATACAAGAATTCACCCCGTGAGCGATTGGTTTAAAGTAAGTTTGATCACTTAAAGCCAAGACTTTGGCTCAATCTATCCGTGAACCAGCTGGTAACAAATAACACATTCAACTCTTGGTCACAGGAAACTGTTAGGTTGCCTTTTTATAGACAACTACAGCCCTACAGCTCCTGAAGCACAAAGGAATATCATACGGACTTGGAAAGTGTTGAACACCTACCATATGCACATAAAGAAGGGTAATAAAGATGAAAGGCCTGAACAGAGCTTTAATTCCTATTTTTCTGCTTTTGATTTATCAGCTGCTTCTGCACTGCTGTGATTTTCTTTGTCCTAAAATTAGGTTGAAGATGCTTGAATTGCTTAGTTTGATCAAATCAGTCAAACTTAGACTTCCCTCTTTGTCAGTGTAACAGATGATAAATGTAAAACTTTAAAGTACATTCTTGCATTCTTTTCAGCGTTATTGCGTGTTCATTTCTGAAGTCCTGACGTTGTAACGATCTGCTGCAGCGGGTGGTTCCTGGCCATGTGTCAATGTTATGGAGGTGCTGCAGTCCTGGTGAGATTGGCACTGAACTGGTAGAGCTGTATCAACGTGACTCTGAACTAGTGCTAGGGCTGATTTGGTTGGGTACAGGGACGTGAAAACATGGCTGAGCTGCTTTTGGGATCTTAACAACTTCTCTGCATAATGCTGCAGTTTTCTGTGGGACTATCTCAGCTGTCAGGTTTGCTCAGGAGTGTCTACACTGTGGTCTGTTGCCATGTATGGATGTATTCTGGGAATTAACCTCCACAGGACTTCTGCCATCAATAAGCACCTCTTACAGAAAAAAGGGCCTTCAGACAGGCCTGACCATGAGTGAGACAATAAAGGCTAATCCTCTGGGCTGCTGAGCCTCAGCTTCTAATAAAGGACTCAGAACTTGTAAGGGTAAAGCTTCAAAGTAAGTACAGATTTACAGAGGGAGGGCAGATAAGAGGGTTGTAGCCCACCCATTAAGACCACCTGGTCTTAATATATGGTTGTAGTCAGCCTTTGTGTGACACACACTTTCCACATCCTAACTCTGTTCCAGCGAGTGAGATTTCCAAGAATTCTGCTGGCGATGTACTTGTCAAAGTTGGGTGCACTACAGAAGGCTAAGTCTGACAGTCATACATAATAGTTTTATCACCCCTTGAACTGTGGCAGCTAAATCTGACAGTGATGGTGAAGCAGAACCTTAGTAAAATAACGATTATGATATTTAATATCATTAATCTTTTCTGATGATGAAGGCATGTCCAATGCTTTGAAGATGGAAAGGTCTGCAAAAATGCAAACTATTATTTTATCTGGAAATGTGTTTTGTGGCATCCCAAAGAGTATGCACATTTCTTATTCCTTTTTTGTGCATGTGCAGGAGTTCTCATGAATTTTCAGCAATGAGTCCGTATGGGAATAATTTCATTGTGAGAAGAAGGCTTCTATTCGATCATAAAAAAAGGCTGCATGGAAATCACGGAAAGCTACAGAAGAAAGTATCAGTCATTGTTTGAAAGCATTGTGGCCTATGGAGATGGAAACCAGAACGTGGATTTGCCTCCAAATTTTATAAGCTTCTAGAAACCCAAATGATGAGAAACAAATGTGAAAAGTTCACAAAAGTCGTGGTTGCTTAAAAAAAGAAATTCTTAAATCCCTTTTTTTTTTTTTTTATGATGAACAGACCTGGCGAGAAGGATATTAATTATCTTGAATACCATCAGTTAAACAGGTAGAGCTATTCCCAGTATTTTTTGGTTGCCACCTAGGTTAGTGTTACACTCCTCAGTTGCTAACAATGAAGTTATCAGCCACTGGAACAAATTATTAAGAGGAACAGTGAGCTTACATTTCTTGAAGTCTGCAAACTGAGAGTGGATGGTATGCTTTAGCAAACAATGGAGACACAGCTGGGTGAAATTATATGGTTGTACTAAAGAGAAGGGAACATGAAATATTCTATGTCATCCTTTCTAGCCTTAAGAGCTACAGGTCTATAATTTCACAAATACCATTACAAAGAACTCCTTAGACATACTGATGACCATAGCACCAATCTGAATCCATCTCCTGATTTGGGGTAGATATTATCCCAACGTATTTTAAAAAGTTACCGACTGCAATACTGTTTCTACGTGTTTCTATCTCTACAAGTCATATTACTAAGATAATTTTACAGTATTGGAAATCCCTTTTTGAGGACTAAAGAGCCCTGTCCTCTGCCCTAAAGACCTCAATGTACTTCAGTGCATGAAATAATGTATAAACAAATAAGCATCCATGCTGCTTCTTTCCTACCTGATGTACTTCAGTCATTGAAATCTGAAATAAGTAAGTTACATTCAGTCACTGAAATAAACAATAAACCATGAAGGAAATTCTAAGATGCTTCTCATTATTTCAGACCATTTCTAAACGAAATAATTTTGCCCTCCTTGTGGGGTGATCTGGCACACTGCTTAAAAGATGTGGGTTTTTTTTTCCCTATAGCAGTCCTCCAGTTGAGAACAGCTAAACCATTCCCCCCCCCAGATTTCCAGTGTTTTGGGGCATTGGGCACTGCAGAAACTTAAATCTAGTGGGACAGTTGGAAATTTGGGAAAACTGTACCTGATTGAACAGCTGGACGTGAAAAGAAATAGTTCTTCAATGTTAAGATGTATTTTTTTTGCTATAAAGAAAGAAGGAATTAAGTCACTATGTGCTGGGAAGAAAAGCCTTGTCATTTCATGATGGCTCTCAAACATCATCTCCATAACTCCATTTCTCTGATAAAAACCCTGTAGCTTACACTACAAAGTGCTTTGGGTATATGTATAGAATATGCTGTTATCAGCAATCACCACAATGGTTACAAAAGGTATTCCTTCAGCATGGTTAAACTGTCTCATTAATCATAAGACAAAATTACTCCTGTGCTAGTATGTCGTCCACCCAAAGAGGTGAGTTTGACAGCAGAGATATGCAACATAGTTGGGATGTCCTAACTGACACTAGAAGATCTGAAAAAATGTCATGGTATAATTTTTCATGGAAAGCTGATGGTTTTGTGTCCAGAATGGATACACGTAATTCCAGAGGCAGATTTTTAGTTTTCGGATTTGAAGCCAATGAGTAGTTACCCTTGCTTCTGTGACTGCCTAAATCTCTGTTTGTGAATCACTTCTTCTATATATGTATGTTGTGCCTAAATAATCTCAACTGTCCCTCAGCTGGAGGGTTGCCTGCAAGACGTTTTTTAACCAAACAGCGTGTGTCACTCAGATACAAGGAAGGGAGCACAATATAAGAGAGCCCAGAGGAAATTTGATTGCTTTATCAAGCAGTCTTTTTTGGTCTTAAGTTTTATAAATTTATATCTTGTGCTGATTCAAATAAGTTCAATATTTTCTTGCAAATGTGTTTTGCGCTCTTGTGAAAAGATGATTGAAAAAGCTGGATGCTGACAAGGAGGAGTGGCCTATGACTCTTCTCAAAATTTTCAAATATATCATCCTTTAAAAAAAAAAACCAAAACAATCCAGTTTGTCATAACGTTTTCAGCATCAACAGTGACTAATTTTGTCATGCAAAGGTCATATTAAAATATAGGTGTTTAATAGTTTGATTTAATGAATCTACAAGAACAGTTTTGGATTGATTTGGTTGAAGGAATTCACCTAAATTTTTAGTCTACTAAAGACTATCTGTGTAGCTCTCTTCTAAAAAGCATAATAATAAAAATAAGAAAAGGAAGAGGGGAATAAGTTGTTGTTAAACATTTGAAAGGTTGGAGGTCTGGACTATGTTTCCATTAATCAAGGTGGTTCTCAAAAGTAGTTTTTGAGCCACACTGCAAGGAAACTGGGAAGAGCTTGAACTGATAATGTTCCCTTTGCTGTATGGATATACAGGAAACAGTTTTCTTGTCCCACAGGCATTCTACTGATTTTGAAATTTTAGGCCTGACATGGGGCTCTGTGAATATATGAGTGACTTAAGAAACAAGCATATTTCATTTTAATGCTGACCTTTTTGTTTTGTTTTGGTTTTAACCTTTTAATATAAACAAATTAAGTTTCAAGAGAAGAAGATGCTTTTAACCACAAAACCAAGACCTCTTGTTTTTAAAATGTTGAAATGGCCCATTTCTAGAATTTCAAAAACTCTTTTTCCAATTTTTTCGAGGACAGGAAGTTCTGGGAATAATTTCAGTTTTGATTAATTGTCAGTTGTGACTGTCTCTCTTCTTCTCTATGAAAGCTCCGTTCTCACTACCAACCCTAAACTCAGGCTTCCAAAACTTTCCAGAAGTCTAAGGTATGATTGCCTTAGTTACCTTACTGATGCATTAGAGGGAGATGTAGGTTTTGGGCAACTATCTTTAACCCCTGGTGCAATAAGACAACAGCGAGAGTGCTGGGATTCTTCTTCCTCTACAAGTACTTGAGATTGTAACAGTTTTGTGTTTTGTTATTCTATGTTTCACATACATACTCTTTCACGTCAATTATTCACAATTTGCAAACAAGTATATACAAGTTACATGTAAGTTACATGTACAATAGAAATTAATTTTATTAACACACTGAGTGTTTTTTCCATTACATCTGTCAAGAAGGATTATTTTCCTGAAACTAATGTTCATGGTTGTGTTGATGGGACAAACCCTGCTTTAAGAAATCTGGATGGCTCTTAATCCTGGAAATGAACACTGGATTTTTTTTTTTTTTTTTTTTTTTTTTTTTTTTTTTCCTTCTTTCGATAGCAATAACTGTATATATTTGCATTACCTTGGAAATAAATTCCTTTCATGATTTGACTGAATGGACCATCTATTCTGCTAGGAAGAAACTAAGACACCAATTGTCCTGTATCCAGAGGAGCTGCTTTGCAGGCTGGAGATGGAGGAAGTCCCAGTGGTGGAACAGAAGCACCAGGGGCTGGGTAAGGTCTTCACAAATACTGCCAGATTATTCAAGCATAAGTCCTTATGTTTCTTTCATGTGTGAGAAGAGAAATGCGAGTTGAGGTGTTCAGATCTCTGTAAAGAGGAGTTGGTTCATAGGTACTGAAGAAGGAAGTTATCAAATAAGCAAGAAGTGGTTTCTTCCTGGCTGGAACCAAAAAGTCCTTACACTTAGCAGGATTTTCCCTTCCCCTCTCCAACCACACACTACTGTATAATGTCCACCAGCTAGTAAATGTATGTTACCTTATATGTGAACTATGTACTGACATTTTTAATAGATTTAATAGCTTATATTCCTGCTGTTTGGTAATATTTTAAATGGGTTTATTCATAAAATTTCATAATTTACTCAGCTATACTTACATAGGCATCATTAATGTGCATAGCTTTGGAGTGTCAGGGCACCGAGGGCACCAACAGACCCCAGTGCCCCTGCCTAGCTCCTGGGGCTCCCTGACCTGTCTGCAGCCCAGGACCCCATGTCAGCCCCAGGGCCATCAACCCCTGCCCCAGCAATGCTGCAGCAGGGCTGGGCTCCAGCTCCACCTGTGGGCCCACAGCCCAGCTTGGCCTTGGCCTGTACTAGTCCCCAGGGCGGTGCCCAATGCCCAGGGCTGGGGCTGCCCACTCCTGGCTGGGGCAGTGGGACAGGCGCTGGCTGGTGATGTCCTGCCCTGATGGACCCCTGAAGAGCCAGCCCTCCACTGGTACCCATGCCCTGCGCCAGGTAGCTGCATAGCACCCTGACTTGAGTTTGTAGTGAGCCCTTGCTACCCATAGTGCATAGAGATATCACCATTGTGTCCAGATACAGCAGACACAGCCTTTTCTAACCAAATATTCTTGTGAGACAGTGTTGGCCTCCAGAAGGAAAGGAGTCCTCATGGTAAAGGTGCTGTCCTTCATTCTCAGGAATGAACCACACTTCCGGTGAAAGCAGGTATGGAAAACTAGTTTTTATCTTACATTTGTTGTAGCGTTTTCCCTTGAAGTACATGACTCTAGTGTGCTGTATGATAATAATGCAACTGGACCAAAAGTGAAATTTTCAGTTATCAGCTTTCTGAAATTAAGTACAGGTTGACAACTTTTCAGACTTGAGAACAGCTCTACTCTTTTGTTTCAGGCTTAGCTGAGAAAGAGCTGAGATTTCTTAATCCAGATATTATATTTACATAATACTTATATCACAAGTTTTCTATCAAAAACGGTGAAAGCCTTATGTGGAAATGCCTGGCATCAGAGCAGATTTCAGCATGTTATTCAGTCACAGTAAGTTCCAGCACAACCCATTCTGAAGCTCAGATGGCATTAAGGATACACTTTAAGATATATTTGCATTCACAGGTCTCCTTTTATTCTTTTTTTTTTTTTTTTTTTTTTAAAGCAAAGTTTTGAAATTGTAACAAATACTTTGAGGTCCATCTGGAGTCTGATTAACACTGTCTCTGGAATCAAGATGTCTTATTGCTAGACAGCTGAAGGGAAATACATTTTCTCCATTGCAGTGTCTGTATATGCTGCATATTATCACTTCAGAGCTGGAGGAATTAACAGTGGCCTCTGCAAAGCTTCAGCACTTCTCTGTAGTCCCAGAGAGGGATGGTGCTTCATGATGCATCTTTTTCCAAGTAATAGTTTTGAAAGATGCATCCCATTATCCTTCCAGTGCAGGAAACCAGAGGTCTTTTCTATTTTCTGTGCCAAGACCTCCTTCCACCCTTAAACTGGCAACGCACAAAGAGCAGCTAGTGGAATATCCCATTAACCAAATGTATTACCAAAATTAAATGCTCTACTCATGTACTAGCCTTAGTATAACAGAGCCCTCTGAGTTTCATCCCTTGCTGTCTGTGCTAATCAGTAGCACTCTTTTGCTATCCCGTTCATTTTGTATTGTTTGAAATCCTAAATTTGAAGCATAACACCACTGTTATTTTTGGACTGACAGAGCACCAGTGCATTGCAGAAGATCAATGGAGAGATTTTGGCAGTGGAATAGGGAGCAACAGGGGCTTGTGGTGCTGCCCTTTGTGCTTGGAGTTGAGGTTTGTGATGGGGGGGCAGGACTGTGCTCTGCTTTCTGTTGGGTGCAAACAGTTTGCAGTTGAAGGCAGAGGAGATTTGGTTTTCATACACCTCTTGCGAACTGAGAAAGTGACTAAATGCTCTTTCATTTTGAAACTGAAAAGGAAGTACATTAACCTGTGGTTCTGCTGCTAAAATAATTTGTTTCAATTGCAATTCTTGTTTCTGAATCCTGATGATCATTTGATTTTGCTGATTGTGAGTTTGGAGCATCTGTGGACTCAGGAAAATTTCAGCAGCTTCTATCTGACATCAGTTTTAATATCTTTATTCATGACTATGGGATAAGTACTTCTCTATAAAGAATGCTTCTTGTGTACAGTTATATGGCAGTTAAAGTAAGGCAATTATTTGGAGGTTAATGGTAATAACATTTAATTGTATTATCTACTTGGCGTGCCGGTAACTGTCTCGTGGCAGTGTCCTGAACCTACAGTTGCATAAAATGAGTAATAGGCATCACAGTACATAGAAACCTTGTTGAAAATAATATTAGCTTTGAAAATCAAATAACCTTTCAAGTACACAGTCACAGTACTAAATTTTTACTCCGATTATATATATGTCTTAAATTTTCACTATCTGTTGGGTAGTGGAGAAATAGGTTTGGTTGTTGCAACATCATCCTGTCATTGCATTACTTAAATAGTATACTAAATATTGTATAAATACTTATGCATGAATGTTGTCAATACAGCATATGCATATGCAACGTATTTTGAGGACATGAATCCTCAAAATTGAAAATACAATTAAATGGCTTTATAAATCAAGAAGACATATAATATTTTTTAATGTTGATTTAAGTACCAACCAGAAGAAGGGGCAGTGCTGATAAATAGTGTGAATATTTGGGTTTAATTATTTGTAAGCATAAAACAAAAGCACTGGATTTGAATATCTTTATATTGGCTGCATTCACTAAGAAATAATGCTTCTGACTATTTCAGGCATTTAGCAAGCTTTTATATATATATATATATATATATATATATATATATATATATATACACACACACACACACACACACACACACACACTATAAGTTGAATACAAGCCCTTTCTGTTTGGGGGAAATCACATATTTAACACTTGAAGGAAAACTCAGTGTCTACATTGAGATACTTTTCCTTTCTCACTTTTGCAGCATGTCTTCTATTCTTCCACACTCGACTCAGAGTAATACTTGCAACTGCTGTTATCCAAACAAAGATATCTACTATCATTGATTGGTCCTAACCTGACTTCATCATACCTCAGATTCTGCCTTCAGGAGCAGCTTAGGAATTTGACTGAAGGAACCTCTTTGTAATACAGCTGTGAAGGGCAGCATTTCATACTAACTCACAAGAAGAGAAGATTTATTCTGGATTTAGGAGATGTTACTTTTATGCATATTTTTGAAAATTGAAGGGAAATAAGTAGCCTTCTATCCCCTTTCCCCTGAAGCAAAGAAATCTGAAAGCTGCAAATGGAACAGACTGAAGCCATTTTGGAGATGGATGTTTAAGTTGTACAGCATGTATCGGATTGTTTAATAAGTATTCTCTCTTTTTCTTTCATTACATGAGGGTTTGCTTTTCTTGGATCACACAGATTCTTGTAAAAATGTAACAAGCTACTATTCTGAATATGCCAAATAAGAAACAGATGTATCTCTTTAAAGAATAGTCTATCAGTAATATTAATGGGATTTCATGTTCAGGGACCAGGCACCTCCCTTTCCTCATGCCAGCCTTCTTGGCCTGAACAAAGAGGCTCTTCTAGCAATGACTTGCACGTGGCAAAGGAGATAAAGGAGGTTTTGGTAGCTACAGAATAAAGCATGGCATTTTTTCTCTTTTCATGATGTATTTTTAATGTGCTATACCTTTGACACAAACCACAAGGTTTTCTGTGGTGGACTGATTTAAACCCAAGGCTTGACCCTGTTGTCAATGTCTCTTTCACACCACAGTTTAACTGGTGTAACTCCATTGCCTCAGTGAAGTTCCTCTGACTTAAATGTGATCCTCCCCAATTTAATACCATGTAGATCTATATTCAGGTGACTAAGCAAGAGTCTTCAGGATGAAGAAAATTCCAGTTGGTATAACGTAAAATAGGATGTACATAATACTCCTTAGATGACAACTTATGCATTTTAGATTAGAGCTTTACTGTAGGTTTTGCATTATCTTTTTGCTTGAGCTGAAATGTCCCTGTACTCTCCAGTTCTCTTGCCTTTCTCAATAAAGCAAGCTTAGTGGTATGAATGACTGCGTACCTCTACTTCTTCATGAAAAACAGCTTCATATAACACATAACATTTATTTCTGTGCTATATACTATCAAAACATGACTTACCTGCTGTGCTGAAAGTAATCTAAAAGAGCAACTTCAGAAATGGCTGAAGTATGTCCTTTTGAGCTGATTAGACCCTCATGAGTATACTTGATGTGTCAAGCCTTGAGTTCCCTGTGAGACAGCCAAGTGGGTGAAGGCAAGCATAAGACAGATTCTGTGATTCTTGTAGCCACCCTGACTGCTCCCAAGTCTGTTATGGGCCAAGATGCCCTTCAGAAAAATCAAATAATAAAGCTGAGATATTCCTTTACTGCTGTTATTTTCTTTTACTTGCGATATTTCCAAAGTTGGGCAGATGGGATGTACAGTAATTGATTGTTGATGAAATGATAACTTAACCTAGATAAAGCATATACATACTGTTATTTCAGTAAAAGAAACAAGGCTCATGTTTAGCGAAATATAATACAGTAAACATCCTTTTGTACTGGCCTTGTTGTTTTTCTAAACTTGAGCCAGGCTGAGGTATTTGCCTTCCAAAATAGAATTTTTGCAAGAGTCTGCAAGTTCTGTAATACCTTTTTCAGTATCTGTTGAGTGAGCCAAAGGTCTGTGGTCTGTTGGGCATCTCAGTTACAACTCTTTCTTGAAGGCTTTAAGTCCTATAGACCTTTCTCTTCCTGAGAAAGGCTGTTGAGCATTTAATTTTCAACGTCTTCCTAGTTCCAAGGAAAACTCAAAAAAGTGAATCCAGTCTTCAACTGGTGATGCTCATGAGTCTTGGATGTCCATGATCTTTTGGTTTAAACTATTCATAATTATCAGAAGATTTTTATTATTTTTTTAATTTGACTTTTAACAACCTGAAAACACAGGGAAAAAACCATACATTTTCAAATTTTAACCCTATTTCTCTTAGAGCTCTGATTTTTTTCAGTAGTTACTGAAGTCTTGTTAGAATGACCTATTCAGATTTTCTCACCTTTTTGTGCATCTCACCTTTAATGCATTTTAGAATGATTTTTAAGTAAATATTTTATATGTCCAGTCTTTTTCCATAGATGTTTTTGCCACTCCTCACAACTTGTAGAAAATTACTTTTAAACAAGGTAAATCACCTGAGAGTTTTGTATTTGGTATTCTGTTTCCTTAACACCAAGTGTTCTGGTAGCACAAGCTAACTTGCATTTAGAAATCTTCCTAGAAACATTCAAAATATTTCTCTTTACAGTAGATGAAGATTGCTTAAAAACTGAACTCCTGCTTGGTGGGATATTTGAAGTTTCAGAATATATGTAGTTTATTTTTTTTCTTGAATTATACCAGAGAGTCAAAAGTGCTTGCAGAAAAAGAATTGAAATGTTTTTCTTTGATACTATCAGATCAAATATAAGAAAACAAAAATTCTCTCTTCAGGGAAGAAATGCTGGATATTTGATGATGACAATATTAATGACCTTTGAAAATGCATTATAAATCCAGGGCAATGTCAACATTGGTATTAGTGGTGGATAAGTTTGTTTAAATAGCATTTAAAGCAGCTTATTCATGAAACACAATCTTTTGAATGTTTAGAAATGTCTTATTGTATTATTATGCTAGAGCTTATAGTTAGAGCTGACCTGTTGCTCATTTAGCTGGAACTGAAAAAGTTGTTCTTGCAGTCTATCATATTTGCTTGGAAGGAAGAAAGGCTGGCAAAAAGCAGCATTGCTGATAAATTTGTTTCCAGTGAGGAGGCACTAATGATATTCAGGTAAATATCCAAAACATTAGGTGACCTTCATTAGAATGGTGTTATATACCAACGTGTTCAACTGCCAACTGTAGCCAAAAGAATCCTAGTTTAGTGTCTCTGAACAATGCTGGTACATTTTTTTGCAAAGAACAATGCTGGCCATGCTTATCCATGGGATACTCATTAGTAGTTTGATTAGCATTGTTCTGAAATACTGTTTTCCAGCCAAAACCTAACAACCTTCCCCTCCATCCCCCTCTGTGAAAACTATGCTAAAACTCTGTAAGGAACAATGAAGTTTTACAATCATTTAGTGGGCACACTTTTGTTCTTCAGTTGCGTCTGTACAATAAGGGGAAATCTGCAAAGTGGTGAGCATCCTCATCCCCTACTAAGTTCAAGAAGAAGCACCAGAGTTTAATTAGTCTTTAATATGTCTTTCTAAGAACTTTTGATTCAGAATTATCAAGATGACCTTATCAAAATGTCCTCTTTCAGCAATGAGAGAGTGTGTATATTTTAAACAAAAACCACTATGCCATACTTATTTGCAAAAGCTTGGGTGTTTCCATGGCTCTGAGAAATCTGCTGTATGTAAGGACTTATGTACCATTTGATGGACATTTTTGATATTAAAAGCAAGATGTAGGTCCAGCTTGCAAACTGAAGAGGCTTCATCCTGCACTGAGACGTGTCTGAATCTGAGCTTCAGTAGATCCTGGTGAAAGAAGTTTTGCTTTATGAGCTTTTGCTTTATGAATTTGGGGTTGAGTAATGCGATTGATTGCCTCTGCAACCCAATTTTGTGTTTCCAGGGTCAGCGCAAGAGGAAGACCAGGAAGAGGCAAGACTAATGCAATACATTAGGCAAGATTATGCAATACATTAGGATTGAGGCTTCCCTGGTTTCAGTCTGTGTTACAGAGGTATTAATCATCATCAACAGGAGTAGACCTGATAATTATAGGATGCTTCTTACTGTTTCTGTAACTCTTATGTGTATCTCCAGGTCTGAAGAAAATGAGTTTTCTGCCAATGGTGGATAAAAAACGTAGGTATGGATCCATTGTACTCTGAATTTTCAATCATGTCAGCTGAAGATGAATGGGGAAGATATAAAGAAAATTTAGTTAGTAAAGTTTGATTCTGTGCTTCAGGGCTGGAATAATTACTGAGACTGCTGGAAGATGTGCATGGCAGCCTACTCTGTATCTGCTATGGTGGTGAGCACTGTGCTTATGGCATTGACCATGCAGTTGCCACTCAAGCAACAGAAGCTAGCAATTCCTGATTTCTGTCTATGGACAAGACGTGTTATCATGAGGTCAAGGGTCAGAGCCTGTTAAGATGTATGGAAAGTTGTAAAAGATGCCCAAGCTATCTGCAAAACAGTGATGTGTGAAGGTCAGAGGTGGCCTATCTGGCTTGCCTCATCTATTCCAGGGGAACAGAAATTATGCATGTCTCCACTGTTTGTACTGTGGACCTGGTGAGGTTTTCTATTAACAGGACAGTGTTTTTCTCCATCAACCTGTGAGCCATTGGAAAACAGTTCTGCTCTTTCTGCATCTTTCTGTGATGGCAAATAGGGTAGAATGCGTGATGTCTGAGCTTCAGTAATTTGCTTGTAGCTATGGAAACTTGCATAGAGAAGACATCCCTTATAGCTGTCCTTGTAGAATCACAGAAATGAATGGGCTACATGTTTCTCCTTGATGACATGTCCTACACTTTTTCTCTACATTCCTGCTACAGCTACCTGTAAGATCATGGTGGAGTGTGCATTTTGCTGGCAAAAATCTAGATATCAACTGATAATTGTGGCAATTGCTACAACACTGCATTTCATCTCCAGGATTTTTGTCATGTGTTGCCACCAAGTTGGTATTGGCTGAAGACTGAGAATGGTAGACATCAAAGATCATCTCTGTGATCTCACAAAGCTGCCATTTCTTTGCATTCTTTGTGTTCTCTGACACAGCCTTGGGACACCTCCTGCTAGCATCCCTGGCATCACTTCTTGCCTTCAAACTGGTAGTCTGGCTAAAGGCTGTGCCATAGTGGATGCCTTAGAATGATGTGTTTCAGCAGGTGAAGAAGACTGTTGTCCTAGCACACCTCAGAGATTTAAATCCTGATGCTTTTCTGACACGCAGTCCTCACAAGTATTTTTAAGGCTTGGGAAGATCTACAGATAAGAAAAATACTTTTTTGTCTTAATTTGGAAAGCTTCATCATAAGTATCAGGACCTGAATTGTTATCCTGGACTCACAGCAGTGCCACACATCTAAAACTGAGGGTTGCAAGGAGATGCTAGGATTTTGGTGTAGGTCCAATGATGGCCTTGGACATGACCTTCTTAGAAACATTCTCAAAGGTAGCCAAGATTGAGCAGGAAGTGTAGCTATGATTAGTTAAAGTTGTCAGTGACTAGAGGATGGGAAGTGGGGAAGTGAAAGAGCGAGGCAGTGGGCACTTTTCTCTACATTATTTTGATTATATTCGATCAGCACTGCTATAAAGATACACATGGCATCTGAAAAGCTATCTCTTCTTCATGAAGTTAAAGAGGCTTGTTTCTGATGAAATCCTGCAGAGATGGAAAATGATGGCTGCCTTCCCTGATGCTGAGAAAAGAGATAACTGATCTTGCAGTACTCACTGCAGTGCCAGTGTCTTACTCATGTGTCCGTGTTGGCAGTCGTAGACAATTATTTGAGCTGGAAAGCTAGGGCAGCATGCATGAGGTGTCTGGTTTTGTGATTAGAACCTGGGTTTGTCTTGTTGCAAAGTTAAATTATGAGTATTAGTAATGTTTTGAATCTGCTAAACTGAAAACTTAACCAGCTAAGATCTGGGAGTGAAAGACCATGTGCCGTCGAGGTTTCACTGTGGTTGCTGCATGGAGCAGGCAAAACAGGGAGTTTGCAAGGTGTTGTTAGACTGGTTGCAGGGTGGGGAGGAAGTCACAACTATTTGTGAAGCATCACTAGGCTTGAGTAGCTTCCATGACTAAAAGACAACAT